TTATTCGTATCATCATCATCATTATCATTATCATTATCACTATCACTGCACTGTCCATATCTTTATCATTTTTGTTATCATTATATTTTTATTATTATTATTATCATAATTGTTATAATTATCACTACCATTATTATTATTTTATTTCTCTTATCATTATTATCATCATTATTATCTTCATCATTCTTATTCTTATTATCATTATCCTATTCATTGATGTGATATGTAAGTGTTATCATTATCATTATTATTGCTATTACTATTACGATTACTTTTATATTATTATCCATATTATTATTAATGTTATTATTATCACCATTATCATTTTCATTATTATCATTGTTTTTTGTTGTTATTGTTGTTTGGTTTTGTCATCAATAAATCAACATCATCATATTTCTTCTGTTATAGATGTGTTTATCATTATTATAATCGTGTTTATCGTTTGGTCACTATGACCATCATTGTCCTTTATTACAATTATTAGAGTCCTTATCATGTGTGTCATTTTTTGTTCTTCATCATTATTATGGTAATTATCACCATCATCATTATCTTTGCTTTATTACCATTGGTCATATAATTATTCACAGCGTTGTTTGTACCTTTATCACCATCATTATTGGCATCTCATCACTATGATCAATATCATTGTTCTCACAATCATCAGTATTATTATTCTCATCTCAATTACTAGCATTTATTAATCTCCTAACAACAGTTTCATTTTTACATTCATCAAAAGCATCCTCATTGGACCAGTATTGTTTTGATTATATTCATTATTAATATCATTTATAGTTTGCTTGTTTGTTTATTTGCATTATTATGACTATCGTCTATGATCTTGATTATCATCACAATGATTTTCAGCATTAATATCATAGTCATCACTCATCATCATTACAATATAAGAGGTAGGGAGGGAGAAAAAGAAAGAAAGAGAGAGAAAGAAACAGACAGAGACAGAGACAGAGAGAGTATATGTCTGTGTATCCATGTGTACAGACAGACAGATCTAGACATAATGATAGCAACACAGCCGAATCCCCTCCCCCTAAAAAAAAAAGAGAAATCCGTGATACAGCTACACCTTTGAGCTCCGTTGCTGTTCTTCTGCCATACACTTAAACGTACACCTCGCCTGACCAGATCTCTTAAAAGATCTTAACGCCATCTCAAGAAAGTAAAGAGCCTTTGGAACTGAAGTTTTCCGGTTGGCCGATAGCGAGCGAGGAACATAGAATACCCATCCAGTTCCCTCCTCTATAAGGCCAAGTACCAGATTCAACTTTCGGGCCACTTGCATTATGGCCCGGTCACCGCGAGGCCATAAGGCGGGTCGGGTCGGGTAAGGCTGGCGGTCTTTGTTCGGCTGTGGGTGCTAGGCTTGCTCGTCCGTTTGTTTGTTTTTGTTTGTGTTTGTGGCCTTGGGTGCAATATTTCGTGTGGAAAGAGTAATTCTCGTGTTGTAGGAAAAAGTAGGATTATTTGTTAGGTAATATTGATACTAACAGTGTGTATAGGCACATAACACACGTATATAATCACACTCACATTTATACAGTATATATGTATGTATGTATCTGTCCATATATCTCTAAACACATATGTGTAGGCTTATGTGTGTGTATACATATCATATATATTATATATTTATATATGTTTATATATATATATATATATATATATATATATATATATATATATATATATATTTATTTATTTATTTATCTATTTATTTACATATAATATATATATGTATCTACGTATCTATGTATATATGTATATATGTATATATGTATATATATAAGTATATATATGTATATATATGTATATATATGTATATATATATGTGTGTATATATATATATATATATATATATATATATATATATATATATATATATATATATATATATATATTCTATTACAGAAACATGTAAATTGGTTTCCTGTTTTTGAACAGGCAATCTATCATTCAGACATCCTTTCGAACGTCTACATGGCACGATAGACCAGCACACAACACTTGAAACATCGCAAAGCAAACTTCAGTGTCCAATAATAAACATGAAACCCCTTCTTCATGAATCAGCTGGCTCTCCGACGCCGAGATACACCTGTTTGGCGGACACCCACGTAACTTGCCTCTTTAACCTCCTTGACACCCTGATAAGCGTGGCTGACATACCGCGTCCCTCATATGGGCTGCGGATGTGGTGATGAGACGCATGGGCTGGGTGGTGAGGATTTTTTTTTTTTTTTTTTTTTTTTTTTTTTTTTTTTTTTTTTTTAGGGCTTGTAATATTTGGGGGTCAGTTTGGTTATTTTTCTGCTGTTGTTTTTCTCAGATTTTTATACCGGCTGTAATTTCAGTATTGGCAACCGTTTTTTTTTTTTTTTGTTAACAACTAAAATGATGATTACTACATATGTCTATATATATATATATATATATATATATATATATATATATATACAGATATATGTATATGTATATGTATTTGTATGTGTATATGAATATATATTTATATATATATATATATATATATATATATATATATATATATACATATATATATATAGCAAGTGTGTGTGTGTGTGTGTGTGTGTGTGTGTGTGTGTGTGTGTGTGTGTGTGTGTGTGTGTGTGTGTGTGTGTGTGTGTGTGTGTTAATAGTATATAACTTTGAAAAGAGGTCCACAAAACGAGACATTTTCAACGATAATACTGAAGACACATATGAGGATGCGATAGAGTTGAAATCTCTCTAGCGTGTTGGCCGCACCTGCTAGGGCTGCTCCAAATGGTTCTAGATTGTCCATGGTCCAGCAGCGCCCTCGCGTGGAAAGGGCAAGAGCCTGGCACGTCAATGATGTCAGCCACATGGATCCAATCGTAAGTCATGGCGATTAGGAAAGAAAGGCCTTTGATAAAGTATAAAATTTATTTGTAAAAAGTGAGGCGTACCGATTCATGGCTTCGCCTTATATAAAACGTATGTACAAAACTATACACATATATTAATATCATACAGCGACTCACAGTCACTTCGTGTAGATGTGGATTAAGCTTCTAGTCAAACTAGAAGTAATATAACACATTTTATGATGATTTAACACAATAGAAAACAAAAAAGTAGCCAATTGAAAATCACCGTCAAACAAGAGTTCAAAAAATGAAAACACTTTTTTCAAAAAAAAAATTATATACATTTTCACACAGAAAAAACTAATATTTTGCAAACACTGAAAAAATATTTCTCTAAAATTATATAACACCCAACTAGATATAATAGGGACGGATAATGCCTTTAACTCCGAAAGACAATCAATCCCCCAATAAGTGTTAGACAGCGTATGCAAGAGCTGTGAGTCCTTAGAACCCTTGCAAGTTACACAATGCAATGCAAGTTCTTAGTACAGCATTGAAAAAAAAAATACACGCCTGTGATTAGTAAACATTTGAAATAGCCGGAGGGTTAACACATAAAAAAAATTCTTTGCGCAAAGGCGGGAGAGAACACTGGACGGCGTCGAGGGCCTTCCTGGGGGCTGGGAGGGGGGGGGGGAGCTGGCGACGGGGCCCGACGATTACCGAACGAGGCGTGACTGCTAGTGGGAAAGGGATTACGAGTATTTTATGCCCATTATGAGAAACTAATGCAGACGATTTAGAGACGAGACCACAATGAGTTCTTCAATAATCTGAAATAATGCATATCTGTGTATACATTAATGAATGCCTATGTGTATGCTTACATATATGTACATAATTTTTAGCAAAAAAATCACTATCCAAATGATCTTTAATGTTTGTTTTTTTTTTTTTTTTTTTTTTTAGGGCTTGTAATATTTGGGGGTCAGTTTGGTTATTTTTCTGCTGTTGTTTTTCTCAGATTTTTATACCGGCTGTAATTTCAGTATTGGCAGCCGTTTTTTTTTAGTTAACAACTAATATACATATATATATATATATATATATATATATATACATATATATATACATATATATATATATATATATATATATATACATATATATATATATACATACATATTATATATATATACATATATGTGTATATGTATATGTATGTATATATGTGTATATATGTATACAGATGTAAGTATATAGATATGTGTTTTATGTGTATATGAATATATATATATATATATATATATATATATATATATATATATATAGCGTGTGTGTGTGTGAATAATATATAAATTGGAAAAGAGGTCCACAAAACTAGACATTTTCAACGATAATACTGAAGACACATATGAGGATGCGACAGAGTTGAAATCTCTCCAGCGTGTTGGCCGCACCTGCTAGGGCTGCTCCAAATGGTTCTAGATTGTCCATGGTCCAGCAGCGCCCTCGCGTGGAAAGGGCAAGAGCCTGGCACGTCAATGATGTCAGCCACATGGATCCAATCGTAAGTCATGGCGATTAGGAAAGAAAGGCCTTTGATAAAGTATAAAATTTATTTGTAAAAAGTGAGGCGTACCGATTCATGGCTTCGCCTTATATAAAACGTATGTACAAAACTATACACATATATTAATATCATACAGCGACTCACAGTCACTTCGTGTAGATGTGGATTAAGCTTCTAGTCAAACTAGAAGTAATATAACACATTTTATGATGATTTAACACAATAGAAAACAAAAAAGTAGCCAATTGAAAATCACCGTCAAACAAGAGTTCAAAAAATGAAAACACTTTTTTCAAAAAAAAAATTATATACATTTTCACACAGAAAAAACTAATATTTTGCAAACACTGAAAAAATATTTCTCTAAAATTATATAACACCCAACTAGATATAATAGGGACGGATAATGCCTTTAACTCCGAAAGACAATCAATCCCCCAATAAGTGTTAGACAGCGTATGCAAGAGCTGTGAGTCCTTAGAACCCTTGCAAGTTACACAATGCAATGCAAGTTCTTAGTACAGCATTGAAAAAAAAATACACGCCTGTGATTAGTAAACATTTGAAATAGCCGGAGGGTTAACACATAAAAAAAATTCTTTGCGCAAAGGCGGGAGAGAACACTGGACGGCGTCGAGGGCCTTCCTGGGGGCTGGGAGGGGGGGGGGGGGAGCTGGCGACGGGGCCCGACGATTACCGAACGAGGCGTGACTGCTAGTGGGAAAGGGATTACGAGTATTTTATGCCCATTATGAGAAACTAATGCAGACGATTTAGAGACGAGACCACAATGAGTTCTTCAATAATCTGAAATAATGCATATCTGTGTATACATTAATGAATGCCTATGTGTATGCTTACATATATGTACATAATTTTTAGCAAAAAAATCACTATCCAAATGATCTTTAATGTTTGTTTTTTTTTCGGAAGTACTAGAGTCATCACCTTTCGTGATTCCACTTCACACTGCCTTGACGCAACGACCAGGCATTGCATCCTCTCCTGTGACTAGAGCTGCACTAATTGACCCAATGTTTTCCGTGTTTAGTTTTGAACAGGTGCAGTCGTTCTTCAGCACATACTGCTTTTTTTTTAATTATCAGAAGCATTGCCTTTTTCTGAGGACGGAACCAAGAATATGTATCACACTCTGTTAATAATTCCCTAAAGTTGCACACAAAACCAAGATACAAATCTACTCGTCGTTGTAATAACAACGTATGCAAGTGGCATATTGCAGCGGGGGAGTATTTGCGAACTATCTATCTCCTGACTAAGATCTGACCCTTTATAAGAAATAGCATCTGACTTAATACTATTCTGCATAATCAATCTTCCGGCAGGCAATGGAGTCCTAGCCAAATCCGGTGCCTGCACAGAATTCTTGCAAATCTTTTTCTTTCCCGTGTTCTTCTTAGATCGCGGTTACTTTGACCAAGAGAACAAACGCATGAACCAGAACGCACCTGATTAATCCTTTATATAACACGTATAAAGGGGATCACAGAACCACGCACATATGAATCCATATCAAGCTGATTTCCCCTCTCTTTCGTCTTCAAAGAGAGGGAAAGACGTAATACAGACCAACCGAACCGATCGAAATCAGTTCTTCGGGGAGCACAGCATGAGGCGGTGAGAACGGTGGCACTGCCAAGGTGAGTGCCTGTTCGTCACCGCGATTTAGTGTGAGGTAGATGTTAGTGCCAACAGAGGGTCGAGAGCTGAGGGACATTAGTACATTCGGGGACCTTTGTACATCGGGGAAGGAGGATAGGGTGGGAGTTAAGCTGAGGCGAGGGAGTAGGAGAAAAAAGTTGTTGAGGTATCAATTTTGATCTTGTCGTTCAGGCAAGATTTTTACGACTGCGAAAGATATGCTTCACTATTGTAGATATACATTTTTTTTTTCTTTTTCTTTTTTTTACATATGTGAGCCGTCGGAACAAAGGCTTCTTGGTGGGAACAAGAAGAAGACACTATGAGGTGAAGAAAATTCTCTTAGATGGCTATATGACGCTTCATGTGCAGACTGAGATGGTCGGAGCGGGAGAAGGCGCGCTCGCACAGGCGGCACTGGAAGGGTCTGTCTCCCGTGTGCTTTCTGTAGTGTCTCGTGAGCTCGTCGGAACGAGCGAACTTCCAGCCGCAGCCTTTCCAGGAGCACAAGTACGGCTTCTCGCCCGTGTGGGTCCTCAGGTGCGCCTTCAGGTGCGAGGACTTGATGTACGTCTTGGTGCAGCCTTCGTAGGGGCAGCTGTGTATCGTGACCTTCCTCTTAGCTCTCCTGCGGCGGGGCTTGGGCGGGGGCGGCGGGGGCTCGCTGAGGGGCATGGAGAGGGGCGGCATGGGCGTGCTGTACTGATACGTGCTCACGCCCATCTGGTTACTAGGAATTCCCCACGACGGAGGAGCTCCCGAACTGTACATGGAGTAAGAAGGTGTGTAGTAAGGTGTGCTGTACTCAGTCACGTACGAGGTAGGGGTATACTGCGCCGGCGTGGACGGCACGGGGCAGTCCTTGCAAGAGTACACCGAACTGTCCACGTTCCAGTTGACCACGCCCGTGCTGACCCCGGTGCTCATGTCGGGCTGCGGCTCGTACCTGCCCTCCGGCTTTATGGGCACGGTGGTGTAGCTCCCGAACTTGGGATCCGAACACTGGAATTTGGGATCCAGCGTGACGTACTTGGGGTCGGGGACGAGGAAGTCCGATTCCGGCACAGTGTACTTGGGCTCCTGTACCACGGTGTACTTGGGATCTGTGGAGACGAACTTGGGGTCGACGCACTGGTATTTGGCTGGGTCTTGCAAGGTGAATTTGGTATCCGTGCACTGGTACTTGCTGTCTTGGTACTTCTGTTCAAGGCACTGGTACTTCGGGTCCAAGTACTGGTGATAGCCCGGTGCGGCCTGTACTGGTGTGACGGCGGTCGAGGCTGTGACGGTGGTGACGGAGGCCACGACGCTGGAGGGGGACGGCAGGGGCCGGCTGGTCGGAACCACCTGGGCCGCCTCCGGAAGCCTCACCGCCTGGGGAGGCTGCTCGGGCTGCGGCGCCTGCTGTGCCGACGGGGGTGGGGGAGGAGGGGGCGGAGGGGGAGGGGCCTGCTGCTGAGGCTGCGTCGGGGAAGGAGTCTGCTGTATCGTCTTGTCCTTTGCGTCAAACGTCGGGACGAAAGTGGCATGTGTCTGTTGTGACTGGGACTGCGGCTGCTGTGGCTGCGGCTGGTGCTGCGGTGCGGGCTGCGGCTGCGGCTGTGGGGCCTGCGGCTGTGTGGGGGAGTGCACGAGGGGGGGCTGCGGGGTAGACGGGGTGGTGCCGGAACTGGAAGTGGGGGAGGGGGGGACGGGAAGCACCGTGCCCGGGGAGGCCTTCTGCACGACCTTCGTCTTCAGGTCCTCTTGAAGTCTGGGCGGCGGTGAGGTTATCGGGTGCGGGGGCGGCGTGGGCGCGAAGGTGTGGGTGTATTGGTAGGAGGGCGGGGGCGTACCCAGAGGGCCCACCACTGGGCTCGCCTCCGTCATAAGAAGTGTCTCGATATCCTGCCACATCTGAAAAGAGAGAAAAAAGAACATAAATAACGTAAAAAAAAAAAATCATCCTTTTACCCTGACTTGATAAAAAAAAATGATTTCGGAAAATTTACCGGAAACTGGAGAGAAAAAAATGCGAAAAAAAGAAAAATAAAATGAAAAGAAATGCCCGTCCTACCTCCCTCTCTCCCTCCAAGTACCACACCACCACTCCTGAGAACCACCACTCGCCGCTACCACTCGACCACACTATCCGTTTGTGCACATTGTTGATACATGATCGACTTCGAACGTCTATCAAATTTCGCCAGTCATCTCGACCCCTGAATAGATACAATTGTTCGATTCCTTCTCTATGTGTCGACATTGCCGGAGTGTTTGGTTCCGTGCGTCAGGTTGAAGGTGAGTTTGCCAGCAGATGAAAGACGTTAAGTAAAAAAGAATATTTTTACTTGCATACATACTTGCATATACACACATGTACTTAAATAGAAAAAAATAGCAACTAGATATATTATTTATATACATAGATGTATGCATATATATATAAACATATATGCATACATGTGTGTATGTATGTTCCGCTTCTAATATTTGCGAATTGAGGAATCTTTTTGGATGAACCTTTCTCTCTCTCTCTCTCCAAGTACCACACCACCACTCCTGAGAACCACCACTCGCCGCTACCACTCGACCACACTATCCGTTTGTGCACATTGTTGATACATGATCGACTTCGAACGTCTATCAAATTTCGCCAGTCATCTCGACCCCTGAATAGATACAATTGTTCGATTCCTTCTCTATGTGTCGACATTGCCGGAGTGTTTGGTTCCGTGCGTCAGGTTGAAGGTGAGTTTGCCAGCAGATGAAAGACGTTAAGTAAAAAAGAATATTTTTACTTGCATACATACTTGCATATACACACATGTACTTAAATAGAAAAAAATAGCAACTAGATAAATTATATATATACATCGATATATGTATATATATATAAACATTTATGCATACATGCGTGTATGTATGTTCCGCTTCTAATATTTGCGAATTGAGGAGTCTTTTTGGATGAGCCTTTCTCTCTCTCTCTCTCTCTCTCTCTCTCTCTCTCTCTCTCTCTCTCTCTCTCTCTCTCTCTCTCTCTCTCTCTCTCTCTCTCTCTCACTCGGTTCTGGTATTTTTAGCTGTTCTTATAGATCACCAGGTTACAAAACGGAAGTCAGAGTTTTATCACAGTATCCTCCAGCATGATACAGAATGAGATAAAAAGAGAAAAAAAAAGAAAAAAAAAAATCACTGTAGAGTTTAAAATCAAATTCTCTTGAATGCATCAGGCGATGCACCTGCAGAATCCTTTTTTGAATTACACTGTAACGCTTTATCGTCACATTTACTACAAAATCATGAGTACAGTGACTGAGAAAAATATATTCATGACAGACAAAAAGCACAAAAAAAAACGCAAACTCCCTATGAATGGGATGGAGTACAGACGAACAGAAACCTTTGTGTTAGACATAAATAACACGAAACCTGTTGTTATGGTTGATGTTTTATAATACTTCGTTTCCTCTTAATCCATTGCGTGAATGTGGTATTCGATCCTGTTTTGTATGGTTGTTTTCTCTCTCTCTCTCTCTCTCTCTTTTGAGTATTGAGGTTTTGTTTTTCGGATTTTAATCTTTTTTTTCTTCTTCTTCTTCATGATGTTTCTGTCATTTTCTGGTATTTTGTTCTACGTTAGTTCTGTTATCCTCCTTGTTTCCTTTTCTTTTCAATACTCCTTCTCCCTTTTTTTTCCCTCCCCCCCCCACGAACAATCTCCATCCTGCTCTAAGCTCTATCTACTCTTGTGCATCAGCCTGACCTGGATTTGCATCTCCCTCCCCCTTTCCCCCCCTCCCCTCCCCTCCCCTCCCCTCTCCCCCTACCCTACCCTCCATCCCCTCCCCTCCCCTCTCCCCCTACCCTACCCTTTCCACTACCCCTTCCCCTCCTCCCTCCTACCTCTTCCCCTCTCCCTCCCTCTCCCTCTCCCTCCCCCCTCTCTCCCTCCCCCCCTCCCTCTCACCTCCCCCCCTCCCTCTCACCTCCCCTCTTTTAACCACCCCGCTTCATATCTCTCTTTGTTTGTTTCTTATTCCTCTGCGGCTACAAACAACAGCCGGATATGGACTCCACCTCTTCCGCTGGGCCAGATTTTTATGGAGGTTCTGCCCGACTAAGTCTCACGTAACGCTCTTATACTCTTTATCACGTACATGCACACACACACACACACGTACATGTATACACACACGCGCTCATAGACATCAGTTGTTGCGCACATAAGCGTTGAAACACATATTCGCAATTATATGATTACGCTCTGTGGAATGCATGTGCGTGGATATGGTATTGATGTTAATATACATAAATATATATATACATAGATAGATATATAGATAGATAGATATGTGTGTGTGTGTGTGTGTGTGTGTGTGTGTGTGTGTGTGTGTGTGTGTGTGTGTGTGCGTGTGCGTGTGCGTGTGCGTGTGCGTGTGCGTGTGCGTGTGCGTGTGTGTATTATATATACATATATGTATACATATCTATACACACACATATATATACATACATATATAGATAGATAGATAGATAGATATATATATATATATATATGTATATAGATATATATATTACATATACATATATATATGCACAATACACAATACACACACACACACACACACACACACACACACACACACACACATATATATATATATATATATATATATATATATATATATATATATATATATATATATATATATATGTATATATATACATACATATATATATATATATATATATATATATATATATATATATATATATATATATATATATATATACACGCCATTTTGTCCTTGTAGTTGTGATGTTAATATTTCTAATGGTTCTGAAAGAATCCAGTTCAATCAGGAAATCCATTATCTTTTAACCCTCTCATCATTCACACTTTATCGCCTGACCTTGTGAACACAAAGATTAACCGGAAACCGACTTGGCTCTGTTGAGTTTTTATTTATTGTTTCCATTAAAGCGTATCTTGTATTTTTTTTTTTATCCGTTAGTAAAACGCTAAATTAATGATTGACTTGATTAAGGTTTCGTTTTTTTTTTTTTTGCTTTGTCTGTCTGTGTCTGTCTGTCTGTCTGTCTGTCTGTCTGTCTGTCTGGACCTGTCTGTTTGTCTATCTGTCTGGCTCTGGCTCTCTCTCTCTCTCTCTCTCTCTCTCTCTCTCTCTCTCTCTCTCTCTCTCTCTCTCTCTCTCTCTCTCTCTCTCTCTCTCTCTCTCTCTCTCTGTGTGGATCTACGCATAAGTGCCTACAGAAATGAATGTATGGGAAGACATTTGATAGAATTACCCACAGTTTATCGTTTATCCCACAGTCTATTCCTTTTGCCTCACACCTATTTTCTTGTGTTTATTAATCCTCCCCCTTCCGCATTGCAACTCGACACTACGCACTTATAAAGTCGATATACATATGCAACTCTATCCTATATTATTAAGCTCTCAGAAATATACATTTACGCATAACAGAACATCATTACTCATTTAATCACGCAAGCACAAACACAACGGAAGGGTGCCAGTGCCTGAAGGTAGGAAGCGTAAGGAGTGTGCCACGCGTCAGTCTGCGTACTTCTAACCCGCCAAGCATGGACGTGGCGGGCCATATGAGGGAAGAGGGAACGGTGGAGAATGGACGGGGAGGAGGGAACGGATAAGAAAAAAGCAGAACATACATATACGACGGCAACATCATACATACATACACACATTCTTACATACATACATAACAAGCTTACATATATATATATATATATATATATATATACATATATATATATATATATATATATATATATATATATATATATATATATATATATATATATATGTATATATATATATATATATGTATATATATATATATATATATATATATATATATATATATATATATACAGAGAGAGAGAGAGAGAGAGAGAGAGAGAGAGAGAGAGAGAGAGAGAGAGAGAGAGAGAGAGAGAGAGAGAGAGAGAGAGAGAGGAAGACGACGAAGAAGCGAGAGGAACTGGCCATGAGGAGCAAGACGCCGAGCGGCGGCTGCGCGTCGCGTGCCGCCGCGTGGGTGGTCCTCCTGCTTGCTCTCATCGGATTAGAAAGAGTTACGAAGAGGAGAAGGAGATAATAATAGTGAAGGAAGCGTCTGTGGAAGACAAGGGACGCTCAGTAAATGGACAAGGGAATGGGGGGAGAGATGGTTCGGGGTCAGAAGAGAGAAGACATGAGAACATTGAAAAAAAAGGGGGAAATGAACGAAGGAATTCTCGGCGAGAAAATGAAAAAAGACACAAAAGATTCGGTTTGAGGAACGGGATCTATTGGTATTTTCGGTTCGATTTCGAATGCTCAGAAAAAAAATGAAAGATCGCTCACGGGTTCGAGAGAAAATCAAACCCTCGTGGTGATGTCGAGTCATTCTGTAGAAGGAAGCACTTTGAATATCCCAGGCCAGGTCAGAGGTCCCAGAAGAGGAATTTTCACTGTACGTATCTTTTTTATCCACATTTCGCTTTTATACGGACGACCCGGTGAATAATTCCCCAGATGATAACATTAGGAATGATAATTAAACCTAATCACGAGAGACCTGCATGAAATCGATCCTCAAGGGGCCGCCGCGACTTCGTTCATAAAGGCAGATTCGCTACGACCTCGAAGAAGACGGGTCACATCTCGACCCCTGACCTCTCACCCTCTCGAGAGAAGGGTTGAGAGTGAAGCGAGACACAAGTGGAAAAAATCACATGTTCCATATAAAGCGGCGAAGAACAGAGTCTGCTGACGTCACTCAAGACCGCTCTGAAAGTGACGAAGTCCGGTAAGCGGCGAAGGCGAAGTCGGAGCTATGGCGAGGGAGGCAGGGGTCGGGAGACGGGCGGCAGGAGTCGGGGAGAT